TCTCTCTCTCTCTCTCTCTCTCTCTCTCTCTCTCTCTCTCTCTCTCTCTCTCTCTCTCTCTCTCTCTCTCTCTCTCTCTCTCTCTCTCTCTCTCTCTCTCTCTCTCTCTCTCTCTCTCTCTCTCTCTCTCTCTCTATCTATCTCTAATTAGGGCTTCCATTTGATTTTGAGAGGAATCAGTTCACAGATGTTCTCTCAATTCCTAGAGAATACTTTTACAACAGTACTCTTTGTGGTTTTTAGTTTTCTACATTCGCTATATGGATTGCTATTTATGATTTCTTATGTTTCTTTTTGTTCTCAGGCTAACTTTGACACATTCATCTCTTGTTGATAATATGGATGGGATAAGTTTCTTACCTGATGACTTGCTCTTGAAGATATTGTCATTACTTCCTACAAAAGATGCTGTGGTCACAATGATTTTGTCTAAACGATGGAAACCTCTTTGGATGTCAATACCACACCTTGAATATATCGATGATACCTATCATAAAACCACGTACGACAGATTTCGGCGCTTTGTTCAAGGCTCTTTGTCTCTCCATGAGGCTCCAGTAATAGAAAGCATGTGCTTAAAATTAATTCATAATAATCCGGAGATTCGTACATGGGTTAAACACGCACTTACACACCATGTACGTAAGCTGGACATTCATCTTTCTTACAATCATTGGCCTATCACACTGCCAAAGAGTCTATATACTTGTAAAACACTCGAGTCCTTGCATCTTTGGCGTGCGGTTATTGGTGATGTTCCTGTTCTGGCCTGTCTTCCGTCTCTCAAGGCTTTGTTCCTCATTGGTGTGACGTGCCCAAACGACGAATCTGTTCATAGGCTTTTGTCTGCTTGTCCTATCCTTGAATCCTTGGTTGTGCTACTAAGTGGAAGAGTCATGACTTTTACAGTAAATGTCCCTTCTTTGCTGACTCTAGATATATCTAGAGAATCAAGGTACAAAAATAACAATCATTTGACTGTGATCGACGCCCCTTCCTTGACGTTTCTAAAGATTAGAGATCACTTAGGCAGCATTTTTGTGATTAAGAATGTCTCTATGGTGAGGGAAGCGGATGTTGATGTTGATTATGACAGTAATGAAAAGCTTATCGAATCTCTCACCCTCGGTCGAGCGTCTACGGTTATGTATGTGGATTCCAAAGGTATGATTATCCAACACTTTTCTAGAGGCTTCTTCTTATGGAATCTAGTCTTTCTTTTCTTTGAAACAAATGGAACTCGTAATGTTTTACTACAACAATTGGTTTTACATAAGTTGTGTCTTTGTATATATGCAGCATGCGTATCCCAAAGGAATAAAATTTCATAGACTTAAACACTTGGAGCTATGCACATGTTCAAAAGGCTGGTTGGATCTACTTATGTCTCTATTGCAAGACTCCCCTAGACTATAAGTTCTCAAACTCAAATTGGTAACATTAAGAACGAGCGCTCGTCTTTATCTCTCCAAAACCTCTCCTCCCAAACTCAGCGCCGCCAAACCCTAATTCTCTTCGATCTGTCTCCTCGGTGGCCGGCGCTCCTCGCTGCCGCCGGGGAGGCCTTTGTCCTCCTTTGTGTTTCGTGTGCCTTGTGGATTGCGACGGTTTGGCTCCAGTGACCTTTAACAGAGGCGGATTCGAGGGAGAAGTGTGGCATCTCGACTTTCCCTCGGTGAGGTCTCTGGTGGAAGCTTCGGTGGCGCATGGTGTGGGATCTTCTGGATCTCGGTGTGGCCGCTGCGCGTCTTTCATGGTGGAGTGGATTGACTAGATCTTGGCTGCGCGTGGTGTGAGGTCTCCGAGAACGGGTCTCAGCGTGTTGTTCTTCAGATCTGATTCTCTTCTCCATCGTCGGCGTGTTGGAGAGCTCTGTTTCGATGCGGTGTTGGCTCGGTTTTCTTCAAGTCTTTGCTTCCGGTGGCTCCTTGTATCATCGCTGATGGGTTTGCTTTGCATGTTTCTCTCGGTTTGGTGTAAGTGTTTCCCTGGTGTTGTTTGATTGAGATTACTTGGAGTAATGTTTTGTGTCTTGTCTTTCTTACTTTCGGAGGAGCTAGTAAGGCTGATGAGTTTAGAGGTTGTTCGGTTTTGTGCTGCTGACATCGGGGAAGTATCTTGGCAAAGTGAGCGAGCGTTTCTGATTCTGATAGTTAGTGTAGTCCTGTCTTTATACCGGATCTTTGTTCGTTAGTTGAGCGTCGAACCGTAGATTGAGGGCTGTCTCTGTTCGGGCCTCCACCGACTTCTTAGAGGAAAGGTTTTTCTCAGGCTACCGGATGAAAGAGCTTCCGATTTGCGAGATATGCGTTTCCCAATCTTTTCTCCAATGATTTTATATCTGACCTTATCTTGGTCTCATCTTTCCTTCGGGTTTTCAGGCTCCTTATCGCTACTTGATTCCTGTTGCTCTTGAGCTTCGGTGTCGGAAAAGTACCGATTGAATTTGCTTCCATGTTTTTTATTCTTTTTTTGCCATGGGACCAAGAATTTTAGGTTGATCGATTGTTAACTCAATTTGTAACACCTAACATTTCATTTTAATGAATATTTACAATTTAGCAAAAAACAAAAAAAATTGGTAACACTAATCATATATTGTTTTCTTTTCCTAAACTCAAATAGTTTCTTTGATACACAAGTCCGGTTTTGTTCATGTTCAAAAGTGTCCACACGGAGATTCTTATTAATTGTGAATTTGTATCTCAATTTTCATCACACATGTAGAATCATTTTGGGGTGAAGGCTCGACCTGCTTGGAATCAGCCAAGTTGTGTTCCTGAATGTGTCTTAGCCAATCTGAAAACATTTGAGTGGACAAGATATAAAGGGACTCAAGAAGAGAAAGAGCTTGTGAAATTTATCTTAACAAATGGTCAGAGACTAGAGAAGTTGAATGTCCCCCTTAATCGTCAACAACTAGCGGATATTAACATAGCCACAACTAAGCTTCACATCCACAAGGCCAAAGTGCCTAACCAAATCAAGTGAATCCTAACAAGCCCACTCCACCTCATGAGTCAAAATCAGTATCGGTCAAAAGCAAAACGGAAAACAGAGGATGTACCGGTTCACCAGAAAACCAGATACAGATTGTGAATAGATTTAATGCCCTCATAGACAGAGAACAATGAGCTGTTTGATTGAGAATATCCTTATGGTGGAGAAATCGATTATAATCTGGATTTTGTTATATTGCTTGTCTTCAACTAAAATTATGTAACCAAGAAGAATACTAGCGTAGTATGTGGAAGGTGTTTTTGTGGCCCAACTATTTTTTTTTGGCAAATTGACCTTAGATTTTAAGGGACCTTATAAGAGTTACGTGTTCTATAAGTTAATTCATGTTTTTTAAACATGTGAATAGTGCTTTGGATTCGAAGGATTGCTTTATTTCAACTTCGAAGCATTATTTATTTATTTATTTTTCTTTTTGAGCAGTCTAATTTAACCAAAAACTGAAAAACAGGTTAATGAGGTTGAATTGGAATCCGATTTTTTTGCATTCGTTGATTTCGTTCCGAAAATATAGTTTTATAATATTTTTTTTTATGCCAACTAAAACCTAGGGTTTGGACAAAAAGAAAAAGGGTTCGGAGGTGACAGGTGAGTCATTTTCTTATTCCTAATGGTTTCACGGTGAACTTGAGAAAAGCATTCGGAACAAATAAAGAAAGTTGAAACCTGTTCGTATCTAAGTTAGGGTTTTATTCTCTCTTTTTTTTGTGCTAAATTTAGGGTTTTCATCTTTCTGTGTTGACAGCAAAAATCATTGGAATAAGGATCTGGATCGAGTGCTCTATGGACAGAATCAGTTTCTTGCCGGATGATGTCCTCTTGCAGATACTTTCACTGCTTCCTACAAAAGATGTCTTGACCACAAGTCCTCTGTCTAAACGATGGCGGAATCTTTGGAAGTTGGTTCATAAGCTCGAGTACATGTACTGTGTTAAGAATAATGATGATCATGGGAGATTTGTCCGGTTTGTGGACAGGTCGTTGCTATTAAGCACAGCTCCGGTCTTAGAGAGCTTGCATTTCAAAATCCGTAGGCAATGCAGCGACGTAGATATCGGATTTTGGGTTAGAATTGCAGTGGAACGAGGTTTGCGTGACTTGAATTTCGATTACAATACTCATAGTGAGCCTATCAAATTACCCCAGAGCTTGTTTACTTGCGGAACACTCGTGACACTTAAACTAACCGAGGTGTCGCTTGTGGATGTTAAACTCACCGAGGTATGTTTTCAGTTCCTCAAGACATTGCACCTTCGTTATGTGATTTACTTAGACGATGAAACCCCTCGGAAGCTTTTATCAAGCTGCCAAATTCTTGAAGTCTTGGTCGTGAACAGAAAAACGAATGACAATGTAACAACCTTTTGTATTATGTTGCCTTCATTGCAAAAGTTGATCTACGATGCAAGATGTGATACTCATGATGGTGTTTATGATTTTGTGATGAATGCTCCTTCTTTGAAGTGCTTAGAGCTTTTAGATCGCGGGTACTGAGTGTATGGTTGAGAAAATGCCTCAGCTCGTGGCTGCAAATGTCGCAGCTTGCTATACGAATACCGACAATATCTTGACTTCTCTTACATCAGTCAAACGTCTCTCGCTATGTTTACCAAAATCTTCATTTCCTACTGGTGAAATCTTCCATCAGCTTGTAGACTTGGAGTTTTGCACATATGGTACACAATGGTTTCTACTTATCTCCATTCTTAAACATTCTCCGAAACTACGAGCTCTCAAACTCAACGAGGTAAAACATTTTTAACCCTTATAATTAACTTTGTGGAGTTTTTGTCGATATATATCATCATCTTTAATATTTATTACTGGTCTATTGAATATTCAGAGACATAATAGTTTTTTTAGAGAAAAAATGCAGCACTGGGATGAGCCAAGTTGTTTTTCTGAAACGTTGATGTTCGGTCTTGAAACTTTGGAGTGGAGAAACTACAGAGGATGGGAGATGGAGAAAAAACTCGCGACGTTTATCTTGAAACATTCTTGTCGTTTAAAGACAGCGATTATCTCACCAAGAGCCACCACTTTGGAGCATAAACATCAAATGCTCACAGAGTTGGCACTTTTGGATGACAAAAGTGATTGCAATCGGCGTCGATAGAGCACGGTGGTCCGACGCCTCTCCGTGATCTATCCACCACCACTGGCGGTGGAGAGCAAATACAGTTCACTGGTGACATGCATTTGCACTTTTGCGGCGTCCGCATGGCAAGTAACCCTGTTCCATCATATATATACAGTTAATTATAAGTTTCGAAAAGTTAATTACGTATGAATAGAAAATAATAAATATAGCTAGATTTTCAGATAGCTATCTTCACAAGGGGAAAACATAAAATCTGATCACTTGGTATGTTTGATCAAAATTAGATAATGGTTCGATGCATATGACGATCAGGAAAATTTAACAAATGGAAAGGTAAACAATTACACAAAAATTGCATTAATGATGGAATTGAAGAGATCGATATGGAATAAACAAGAACAGACCAGGTGATAGTATGATGTAGATGGTTGCAGACATAGTTAAGTAGAAAGTGATCTTCATGTCTAGTGTTTACCGTTTGTTGGTTTTATTTTATGGTGATTGCTATATTTTTTTTTTTGAGTCACCTATTTATTTTTCTTAGAAATATAGCTATAATGATTAATATATAATATATTACTAAGAAAATAAAATTATACACCTTTACTCATATAATTAACTAGTATTTATCACAAATGGATTATATTCCTCACCCTAGATATGGTTTTTCACTTTCTTTGAAGACTTTTTCCTCAAGTTAAATAATAGTGGTCTTATTTTATCAGCACGAGAATTTATTTTTATTCAAATTAGTTATGTTTTCTTTAGATATATAATTCTTTTAATAAGTGATAAAGATTTATTTTTGTGTTAAAATATAATTTTTCTTTTAAAACTTTTTTCTAATATTATTATGACCACGATCATAAAAACGTAATTCTAATCCAGTCATTTTATTTTTCAAAAAATAACTATTATTATAAAAACATATTTCTAACTCGCTCATTTTATTAATCTAAAAATAACTGTTGTTATAAAACCATAATTCTAATCCGTCCATTCATATTACTATATAATTTAAATATTTACTAATTTTAAAATAATTTTTATATTAATATTTTGCATATTTTGATACCTAACCCGCATAAAACCAAAATTATAAAAAAAAATTCTAACACATCCCATCAAATTACCATATAATATTAATATTTATCAGTTTTTAATATGTGAAATTTTAATTTGATTGAATATGATTAAGAAACTACAATAACGTAATCGTTAATCATATGTGCTATTTTGAAAATATTATTGGAATTTCAAATGTTAAATTAAATTTAACATATATTTAAGGACTTCTAAAGTAATTTAAATGAATATCTATTTTTCAAAATTAAATTTAGTTATAAAACAAAATTAATAGTTTGAATTTTAAATGAAATATAACATATATTTAAAAAAATTTTAGTTATCTAAATAAATATCTTAATTTTCAGAATTAAGTGTATATAAAAGAAACAGTTTTTTAAAAAATATTGCAATAAATTAGGATAATGTTAAAATTATTTTTAAATATAATTTTTTTTTAAAAAATTGAGAGTGTTTTTAGTGCTTCTGTTTTAATATAATAGATATAAGACGGATGGCAATGATAATAACTTTAATATCTTCTACCAGCAGCAGTGACCGAGGATGATGACAACCATCATTTAATAACCCCGAAAGCCCAAATTGCAACTTTTTTATTTCATCAAAACCAAAACCAAAAACTTGATAAGATATTATCATTGACAGTAACATCCTCCAATTCCATAATTACAATAACCGCCATTTGCACCACAGGTGGTCACGAACATATCGCCGGAGCAGCATGGTGGTCCAGGACATTCATTTTACAATGTGCACGATTTTATCAATGTGCCCTGAAATTTTTATTGCGTCATTACTAAAACACATTACAATTGCATTTAGTTGCAGTTAGAGTTTTAAACGTTGCTACACGGAGACCAATTCTTAGGAATACAGTTAATATCTAGTCTTACCCATAGTTGTGAATCTCGTATTAAATTAATCGTATACATGCCGAATCAAACTTATAAAATTTTTACTAGTGTGTTTGTAATGACACAGTTCAGCTTAAATTTGGTACAGATTGGTAATACATGGTGTATCTTAATTTTAATTAATGGAACTCTAATTCATTGTTTAGGGTTTAGAATTTAATACGGCCTGCTTAAAGTTCTATGGATTTAAAACTTGAGTAACTTCAATTCTTAGTTCAATACTAATATTGCGACACAAATTTTCGAAGTTATATGGCGTATAATGAGATATAACGACTGTAAAGAAAACTAAGGCCTCAGAGATCTTGGTGGATAAAGAATCATCACAGAAGAATTTCTTCATCAAGAGTAGCAAATATTTTTCTTACATCACCGGCCACCTTCAAAATTAGATAAATCAAGAAAAAAAAAGCATTGATGATGATGAGTCAAAAGTAGCTGGTAAATAATCACATCTTTCCCGGAGGAAATCAATGGGAATCCGAATGATTTTTTTCATCACCCTCACCATCAACAATAACTAGATTACTAAAAAAAAAAACAATTCCACAAAGAAAATAACTGATCTAATAATCTAAAACAAAACAAGTGGATTTTACAAAAACAGAAAAATTCGATACAGAGAATGATAGATGTATCTGCCTAGTCACCGAAAATCCTTTGGAAAATAAATAAGAAAACTCGGAGCTTACTAGGCAGAGCAAGCTAACGGAGGTTCGTAAGCTCACCAGAAAAATCAAAATCCATCATCTCTTTTGCCTAAGGATAGATTCCTTGATCCATTACAAAGAATTTGTAGATCAAGTAATTGCAAATTAGGCCAAAATCGATAATACTAAAATACTGCAAAGAAAAAAAAAAAAAGTTTATCATCGTCCCTATATCAATTGACAAGAAAAACGCGCCGTATAAAAATAAACAATTTTATTGGAAGAGGAGAGGAGTATATATATGAAGAGGTGGACTTCGAAAACCCTAGTTCTTAAGCGTAACGAAAAGCCGTCATAGGCCCAACTAGATAAGCCCGTTAATATAGTGAGGTGAGGCAATTACTAATTAGCCTGTATGTCGGCTTTTTGTAGCTTCTTTACCTCGGCTTTCTAAAATTAGGAGATTACTAAAAAGCATAGTAAGGAAGAAAAGACGTCGTTTTGGTAATGACTTGCAATGAAAAAATATTGGCCCATGCAGGTTTCGAACCTGCGACCTTCGCGTTATTAGCACGACGCTCTAACCAACTGAGCTAATGGGCCAATTTGCGAGTTTAGCTAAATTTATGTATAAATCTATAGTAGCCATCGGGATGAACATCGTTTTGTCAAACTTGTTCTCTCTCAGACACTTTCACTTCAATTTTTTTTGTTGTTCCGTGGCCAAATCTGTGCTCCGTTCTTCTCCGGTTTCGATCTCGAAGAAGATGAGAGTGGTAGTATCTTCCTCTGTCTTCGTCTCTTTGCAACTATCATTTCTTCTTCTCGTTGCTTCTGCTATTAGATCGAGCTCGTCTCCGTTGAACGATCCGTTTCTCGGCATTTCTCCTCAAGGTTTGTTTTCTCTTTCTCCTCACTGTTTATTGAAGATCCGATTCGTTTTGCTAGAGATCTTCGCCAATAATGCTTCGATTTGATCTTTGATTTTCACCTTTTTCTCGTTGGTTGCTGCTGTTTTCTCGTTTAATTGGTTTCGTTTCTGTGGATGTTGTAGATGAGAAGTATTACAAGTCATCTTCGGAGATAAAGTGTAAGGATGGATCAAAGAAATTCACGAGAGCTCAGCTTAATGACGATTTCTGTGATTGTGCAGACGGAACTGACGAGCCAGGTTCCTTTCATCTTCCCAATTTCTCTTCTTGCTATCTCCCCTTTGTCACAGTACTTAGTTTTCTAATGGAGAGCTCTTATCTGTTGAACAAAATTATGAATTTGAAATAGATTTTTGAAATATAGTTTTCATTTATGGATTGTAGTATAGATCATCTGCTGACTTCGCTCTATATGTTTGACCTCCAGGTACCTCAGCTTGTCCAAATGGAAAGTTCTATTGTCGGAACGCAGGCCACTCTCCATTAGTTTTATATTCTTCCAGAATCAATGATGGTATCTGTGGTATGTGACTCATTCTATACAATACGTTACATTTAATTTCTGTTGAACCTCCTATGTTCAAGTTATGTGCTTCAAATGCTATACGGAGGAAGACATGTTTAGCCTATCAGTATGTACTTAATGGTTGCTAATGTTTTGTTTCCCCATGAGAGCAGATTGTTGTGATGGAAGTGATGAGTATGATGGTAAAGTGACATGCCCAAATACATGCTGGGAGGCTGGGAAAGCTGCTCGAGAAAGCCTGAAGAAAAAAATCGAAACATATAGTCAAGGGCTTGTGATAAGAAAGAAGGAAATCGAACAGGCGAAAGTGGGTCTTGAGAAAGATGAAGCAGAATTGAAGAAGCTGAAAAGCGAGGAGAAAATTCTGAAAGGCCTTGTTCAACAGCTTAAAGGTTTGTACTTCTTTCTTTTGATGCAGTATGTGAACTTCTGTTGGCTGATTTTGAAAATGGCTTGAGAGTCGAGATATAGATTTTATTTTGGAGTAACTTATACGGACATACGTTAGTAGTAGTACCATGAGATAATCAGTGTATTGGAAAGGTGTAGTTAGATGCCTGATTTGCCTCTGGATCAGTTCTAAAACTTTTCACTTACCACCGAAGGGAAGGAAGAAAGTAAGAATAGATATGAGCTGTAGTTGAAGTAGTGCAAGTTGATAGGATCGGATCATCAACTTCCTTCTCTTTCATTTTATAACTTGCTATGATGACTACAGATGATAGAGAAGGACCTGAGTCTTTAACATTGTCGGCATTATCAATTAAAAAGCTTGACATTTTCTACATTTCCCTCGGATTACTTCTTGTGTAGAGCGTAAAGAACAAATTGAGAAGGTAGAGGAGAAGGAGCGTCTACAGAAAGAAAAGGAGGAGAAGGAAAGAAAAGAGGCTGAATTAGCAGCCCAGCCAGGAAAGGGGGACGGTGAGGAGAAGACAGATGGCAGTGAAAAAGTTGAAGGAAACACAGATGATGCAGGGGTGCCCGAAGTTTCACAGCATGATGAAAATCCCGATGAAAGCGCACATCATGATGAGATTGGTAATTACAAGGATTTTCCTTCTGATGAGGTTAGTTCTTCTCTACTAAATTGAAATAGATTTGCATGCTTTCATCGTTGTGTTTTTGTTTATTTTGCTTGGTCAACAAGTTAAGTAGTCAAATTGTTTTACTTTACGGTCACAATTGCTGTATCTTTCACGTGGGTACTGAATTAGACTTAAATTTCAGGAGCCAGCACCTGAAACTGAATCAACAAGTATATTGGAAGAGGCTACTCACACTAATCCATCAGACGAGGTTTGAAAAACTATTTGTTCATATGTTCTTTCCAGAAGTGGAGCAATTTGTTACTTGGAAGTTAGATGATGATATAAGGTTGTCTACAATGCAGCATGTTGTGGAGACGAAGGAAGAACCTCCCTCATCTGAGGATTCGGTCACAGATGGATCTCAAAATGATGGCAGTACCAAAAAGGAGGAATCAGACGAGGTGAAGAAAGTGGTAATTTACTTCCAATTTTTGGCCAATTTACAAAATATTGTCAGAAATCTTAGTATAGCTCTCTCAACTTCCATGATGAGAATAACTCTGTCCTTTTGAGGCTTGTCTGTTGCATTTTCTTTCAATGATCTGCCGGTTTTTAGTTATTTCTCGTAGATTATTGAACTTCTAACTTTATCTTGACGTCCAAGTACTCTATGTTCTATCTATAGGAGGATCTTGTATCCGAGAAGAAGGAAGAGTTGTCAAAGGAAGAGTTGGGGCGACTTGTTGCTTCTCGTTGGACAGGAGAGAAATCTGATAAGCCAGCGGAGGCAGATGAGAGCCCCCAAGCTGATGATCAGAAAAACCATGAGCATACACCCATCACTCCACATGAAGTAGATGAAGATGATGGATTTGTTTCAGATGGTGACGAGGATACCGGCGATGATGGAAAATATAGCGACCATGAGCCCGAAGATGATTCCTATGAAGAGGAGTTTCGCCATGATTCTAGTTCGTCCTACAAATCTGATGCAGATGATGATGTCGATTTTCCAGGTTTGCACTATTACCACAGATATTTGCATTCTTTAAAAATGCTAATCAGCTATCATTGTAAGTATGACATGATTCAATTTTGGTACGTATAGAGACAATCTCAAATCCTACTTGGTTGGAGAAGATACAGAAGACAGTCAAGAACATTTTACAGGCTGTGAATTTGTTCCAAACCACCCCAGTGGACAAATCGGGTAAACTAATAGTACAGTATAGCCCTTCCACTAACAGTAAAAGCAAGACTCAAATTCTTCAGTGATCCATCTGTTGGGCTGTGGTATGTGCAGAGGCTGATCGGGTACGCAAGGAATACGATGAGTCTAGCTCAAAACTGAATAAAATACAGTCAAGGGTATCGAGCTTGGAAAAGAAGCTTAAACGAGACTTTGGTCTGTATGATAAGACTCCTTAGCTCTTACTTACGTTTGCCTTTCTTTGAGTTAGTTTTTGATATATTTTTACTACAGGACCGGAGAAAGAGTTCTATTCATTCCACGGTCGTTGTTTTGAGAACAAACAGGGCAAGTAAGGAAAATTATTTATTGTCCTCTTCCTTTCTTTATTAGCATTTTCAGGGATTACAATTACGTTTATCTTATACGTTATTACCGTAATAATTTCTAGGTATACTTACAAAGTCTGCGCATATAAAGAAGCCACACAAGAAGAGGGCTATTCGAAAACTCGGTTAGGGTAAGTGTCGCTGCCACTGTATCTTTTCCGTGCATTCTGATTTCTTTCATGATACATATATTAAAGCTAATATAACGAGGAATTAGTTCGAAGTTGATTATCAGATTTCAGTAGCTACTTTATCTGTGTGTTTGTATTTATCTTTTTACGCTCGTTTGCTTCGTTTAATGTGATTTGCTAAATAGGGAATGGGAAAAATTTGAGAACTCCTACCAGTTCATGACATATACAAACGGAGATAAGTGCTGGAACGGTCCCGATAGAACCCTAAAAGTAAGTGTTTGGATATGTGAAAGTTAAGAAATTGTTCAAACATAATTAGCTCGAACTATCAATAGAATAGTATCTAAGAGTTGAGTTTTGGGCTTGCAAATATCACAGAGAGATGAAAAATAAAAAGCTTGACTAATTCCTGACATGCAGATTAAGCTTAGATGTGGGTTGAAAAATGAGCTTATGGATGTCGATGAACCAAGCCGTTGCGAGTATGTTCTTGTCTAAGTCTTTACCTCTCACAGTCTCCCATGTCATCGCCTTTTATCTCCACTACTACTCTTTTTTCGTTATTGCCCCTAATCCATTACTTTCTTGTTGCAGATATGCAGCGGTCTTATCTACTCCAGCTCGGTGTTTAGAAGACAAACTTCGAGTAAGTATCTGTGTTTATCTCAAATCTCAAAGCATACCTACACTCGTTAACATTCCCTAAACCCTGTGTTTCCTATTTTAATAGGAACTACAACAAAAGCTCGAGAAGATGATGAACCAAGATCAACCTCAGAATCACGACGAACTCTGATCGTGTTCACCTGAAATAAACTTTATCGGATGCGCACCACTTAGATATGTGTCAGTTAGCTACTAACTTGCCCAATCTCGAAGGTCAAGAGGACAAAAAAAAAAAACTATGAACAGAGACCTTTTTTGGTCGGAAGAGAATGCATGATAGGGTCAAGTTGCCTATTTAGTTCAGTGGAGGTCTATTTATCGACAGTATTTTAGACAATGTTCAACTTTTGGTTAAGCGCAAAAAACAATTCCTATATATATAAACATGAAGAATGACTAAATCTTTCTAGTTTTTCGGGTAATATGATTCGTGATAAATTTGGAACTCGTTAATAGAAGGTATCTTATCAAACATTTGCAAAGTTCACTTTCAGAAAGTAGTTTTTTACAAGTGCCAAGTGGTAGGTTAGGTTCGGTTAGTTGGAATACTTAACTTTTAAAAATTCGATTTCCAAAAGAGACAAACTCTAACATAGTATCTTTTTCTTTTAAATTCACACAAACAAATCATTGCATTTAACACTACATGCAAACCAACATCAAAGCTAGAAATTAAGAAAGAATTATTTTTGGACCAAAATATAATTTTTCTCATTTTTCAAGCTATATAAGTTAAAATTCTGACAAACAACATGTGAAAAATATGTAAACGTAATGTATTTATCAAATTTTGCAAGTAAGCACTAATAGGATTGGAATTTTGACAAATATCTGAAAACCGTGGCCCGACAATGAATCGAGAAGGCAGAAAAAGGTAAAAACGAAACGAATAAATTAATGTGCGTCCCTCCTTTATGAAAAACGTAAACCGGGGGTAAGCAAATACTATAAACGCAATCAGTATTTTGTTGACCCAATCCTAAACCGGTAACAAGCAATTAATGTATGGGTCAACAATTGACCCAATCTAAACCAGCGACCTTAAATTTTCATTTTTTTTCACCTCAAAAGTCAAAAAAAGGAAGAGAAATAGACTCACACTTCGCTCATAACCCCGAAATCCCCAGATTCTATATCTCTCTCTCTATTTTCCTTGTTCTCCAAGCCAGATCTCTCTCCATAAATCTCTCTTCATCTCTTTGTCTTCACTAGAATCTGCGATCCTAGCTTGTATCTGTGTATTTTTACTTTGTTTTTTGTTTCTCCTACTTGCGATGGCGATGGCGATGATAGAGCAAAGGCCGAAGACGAAGATCGTGTGTACTCTGGGTCCAGCTTCCAGATCCGTTCCGATGGTCGAGAAGCTTCTCAGAGCCGGTATGAACGTCGCTCGGTTTAACTTCTCTCATGGATCTCATGAGTATCACCAAGAGACTCTCGATAATCTCCGTCAAGCTATGCTCAACACTGGGATCCTTTGCGCCGTCATGCTCGACACCAAGGTGACTGATTCGTCTCACTTATAAACTTCCATGTCTGAAGATTCTGTGTTTGTGTTGTGAACTGTGCGTTTTTTTGTGTCTCTATTCGCGTCTGTTTCTGATTCCAATTTCATCTTCTTTGACACGGATTCGATTGTGATCTTGATTTCTAGGGTTTGTGAGATTTCTGTTGTATTCTGATTGGTTTATTTTCCAATTTTCGATCTGCAGCACTGACGCGTGTATGTTTTATTTTGCTTTCTGTTGAATGTGTTTTATGCCTCTTTTGTACTCATCTATGTTTGGTAAATGTTTTCTGTTTTGTCTGTTTATGCCCATTAATTTGATAGACTCTTTTCTGTTTCAACTCTGCTGACTAAGAGCTCTTACAAACATTATTTTTATGGGTTTTTACTTTCTGGGGATTGCTAAATATGTTTTGAATTGTGAATCTAGATCTGTGAGACGCTGGTTTTAGTGGTATTGTAAATGTATCCAGTTAGAACTTGGATTAGACCAAATTAGTTGAGAAGAGTTAAAGCTTGTTGTGGGGACAAAAGGTCGAAGTTGATGTTGTCGCTTAAAATCCCTAAATATAGTGAAGAATGTGTAGTTGGAGATTAAGAAACAAATACTTTTTCGCTTGACATGTTTCTTGTATATGCAATATGTATGTTTAGATTGAGGCAGGCATGTCCACAATTCAAGAAACAAGAGCCTCATAGTTGTCGAGTCATAAGAAGATAGTGTTGATAGACAATGTTCTTGAATTGTTCTCTCTTGTCTGTGATTATGGTTCCTTGGCCAGAGAATGTAGCTAGTATGTGGAGTAGAAATTATAGCCAAATTTCAACTGATACTCTTCACATGATTGGTGTTTGAAGGTTTCTCTTGTCAACTTCTTTCTTGTCTATGTAAATGTCTAAATTGTGGCAGATCTACTTGCTTTTCTGACTATACTAACGGATGGTTTTTGTATTTTCTCTTATAGGGTCCAGAAATCCGAACCGGGTTCTTGAAAGATGGGAAACCAATCCAATTGAAACAGGGCCAAGAGATCACCATTTCGACTGACTACGACTTGAAGGGTGACGAGAACACGATTTGCATGAGCTACAAAAAGTTGGCTGTAGATGTAAACCCAGGGATGGTCATACTGTGTGCTGATGGTACCATTTCGTTACTGGTCCTCTCTTGTGACAAAGAGAATGGTACAGTTCGTTGCCGCTGCGAGAACTCAGCGATGCTCGGTGAGAGGAAGAACGTTAATCTCCCCGGTGTCGTCGTGGATCTCCCAACTCTAACTGAGAAAGACAAAGAAGACATCATTCAGTGGGGAGTCCCGAATCAAATCGACATGATCGCTCTGTCTTTTGTCAGAAAAGGTTCAGACTTGGTTCAGGTCCGGAAACTACTCGGAAAGCACGCTAAGAACATTCTTCTGATGTCAAAGGTATGTTAAAACCCAAAGCTCTCTTTCCGGTTTCAGAAATTACAGGAACAAGTTTATAGATTGTGATGGGATTGTGTTATCTTTGTTTTGATGGATTAGGTTGAGAACCAAGAAGGTGTGGCGAATTTCGATGACATTTTGGTCAATTCCGACGCGTTTATGATTGCAAGAGGAGATCTCGGCATGGAAATTCCGATTGAGAAGATATTCTTAGCTCAGAAAGTTATGATCTACAAGTGCAACATCCAGGGAAAACCTGTGGTCACAGCGACTCAGATGCTCGAGTCCATGATCAAATCTCCTCGACCCACAAGAGCTGAAGCAACAGACGTAGCAAACGCGGTCCTTGACGGTACAGACTGTGTCATGCTCAGTGGTGAGACTGCAGCTGGAGCTTACCCAGAGCTAGCTGTCCGTACAATGGCTAAGATATGCGTTGAAGCCGAGAGCACGCTCGACTACGGAGATGTCTTCAAGAGGATCATGCAGTACTCACCGGTTCCAATGAGCCCGCTTGAGTCACTCGCGTCCTCAGCTGTCAGAACCGCTAACTCAGCTAGAGCCACTCTCATCATGGTGCTAACAAGGGGAGGAAGCACAGCGAGGCTTGTGGCCAAGTACAGACCAGGAATGCCTATATTGTCTGTCGTTGTTCCTGAGATCAAAACCGACTTCTTCGACTGGTCTTGCAGCGACGAGTCACCGGCGAGACACAGCCTTATCTTTCGCGGTCTGATCCCGGTACTCTACGCAGGGTCTGCAAGAGCCTCGCACGATGAATCAACAGAAGAAGCTATTGAGTTTGCGACTCAGTATGGGAAAGAGAAAGAGCTGTGTAAGACTGGAGACTCTGTTGTTGCTCTACTCCGAGTTGGTAATGCTTCCGTTATCAAGATCTTGACCGTCAAGTGATGATCCCGAGTTTAAAAAGAAAAATCCCGTTTTTGGCGTTTGGCGTGTTTGGGAACGCAACGCAGCTATAAGCGTTTTATTATGAATTTATTCAAGATTGGTGATTAAAATCTTGAGATTAGAAAACTCAAGTTCTCTTTCTTGCTAATTACTACTACTGTGGTGACCAGTGAATCTACCACTTACGGTTCTTTTTTTTGGGATTATTATTGGTTGTATGGAACTAATGGATCATCATACACGTACCTATTATCATGATTTCTTTTTGTTTTTTAAGTATTTCTTAAATATAATACGATGGAAATAATGGTGATACTATAATTTTTTATATATCATGCTCTCATTCTTTGAAAGACAGAGCATGAAGACAAAAAGAAAAGGAAAAAACGAAGACAGCGCATGAAACATCGCCCATACAATTATCATTCCGACAAATATCATTATTTTGGCTTCAACTGAATTGAACTTTTATATTTAAAACACACAGAAAATTTGAAAACAAAATTTTATCATCGCTGTACAAAGTCTTTAAACATGAAAGATTGAGTCATCATCGCCCATACAAAAACCATTCCGACAAAGATGTAATCATTCTCTCTATTTTGTAACATTTTCATCATTATTTGGACATCAGTTGACATATTTATTTCATATTTAAAGACAATTGTAAAAACAAAAACGATACAAACACACTAACCGAATTTGATCATCTCTGTACAGAAACAATGAAAGAAGATTTGAAACAAAGAAACAGATAATACCTCCAGGCTCCATGGATTTTTTTTTTTTCAACAATCTTAGTGAAAGAACATCATTATTATGTACATAAAAGCTGAGAATGAAATGCAGAGAACAAAACAAATTCAGATGCTAGAAAATGAGAAAAAAAAATCGAGAGATTAACAAAACAAAGAACATGAACAAGAACAAGATTTTTGGTTTTTGGATGTTTTGTTCTCTGATTCTTTTATCAGCGAGAAGAACCAGAGGACGAAGAAGACGAAGAAGAAGAAGAGAATAATCCACTGAATGGCCATGGAAACGAAAACCTTCTTCCATTCCCGCTCCTCGCATCATCCTCTCTTCCTCTCTCCGCATTTCCCACATTCTCAGCAACGCTTCTGCTATTGCTTTCCGGAAGAGCTCTTGTTCTCGCTGGTCTATCAGATTCAACCTTAACCTCATCATCATCATCATTCGCAGAAGGAAGCTCGAAACGACACACAGGACACGAGCTATGAAGCTCAAGCCAGGGGACAATACAGGGGACATGAAACTTGTGCTTACAAGGCATCTCTTTAGCTTCAGTTCCTTTCTCAAAATCATCCAAACAAACCGAACATTGCAACGGTTCCATGATCTTGACCGTTGGTAAAGCTTCAACGGCTTCTTTGCGAGCAGGTGGAGTCCCTTGCCTGTTAGGATCATTCTCAGCCAAATGCTGAAGCAAAAGATCTAAACCTGGACCAATGAAGTAATCTCCAAGTGAAGTCAATGCAGAATGGTTATGAGTCTGATTCGAAGATCCCTGAACAACGAGAGATTGGTTAAACGGATTGATCATTATAACTCTATTGCTGTTACTATCCCTCTCTCCATTGTTATTATCAGAGCTTTCATACTCAGAAGCAATCCCTGCACGAATCCCTTGAAGTAACTGCGCTATATTCCCCGAGCTTCTTCGTCTTCTCCTCAACATGGATTCAAACTCTCTGTCCAAATCAATCTCACCACCGTGTCGTCTAGCTCGGTGATGACGATACACATTGATGTTGCTACCATCATTTCCATCAGCATTAGTTGATTCATCACCATCATCATCATCATTCTCTTCACCAAGCTCTGCTCTCCTAAACCTTCTTCGTCTCCGAGTGCTGCTCATCATTCCAAGCAAGATTGGAGCCCATAAAGACATTGCATGTTCTGTTCCGAAATCAGTTTCTGGGTCTTGAACGTCTCTTATGCTTCCTCCACCAACACCATTACCGCTCATTTCTTCCACGAACCCGCTTTGGCAAAAGGGACATTTGATCTCAGATTCCATTATCGGGTTCACCATTTGTGAACACATGTGACACCAATACCTAGCCGCCATTGTTTCCTCCATGCCTCCTCCTTCACCTCCCCCCAAAATCTCTAAGATTCTGCAAACAAGAAGAGGACACAATGAAACCCTCGAAATTTTGTTATATTTGCTTATCATATTCCTATTCGGTTTTTTCTCATTCAGATCTAAGACAAAGAGAATCGTATCCTTTAAAAGTTTCTAGCTTTACACTAGTACACCCATCTTAAAATGAGGAAACTTTGCCACCAATATCCAAAAAGTATTGATTTTGACCAATAAAATACAAGATTCAGACAAGAACATCTTTGAAAAGGAGAGGAGAAGCCAAGCTTCTTACACAAATTTGGATAAAATCCAAAACCCAAAAGAAAAACCCAGAGAAAAAGAAAGAACCCAGAATCTCGTAGAAGATCAAAGAGAAACAAAAAAAAAAACCTCGAAAAAGGGAACAAATTTCTAATTGTTGGCCTCCTTTGGCAACAATTTGTATCAATTAAACGAAAAAAGAAAGAGAGGCTAATATCCATGAAAGAAAAACGCAGAAATTCCATACCTTTAAGGCCCTTAAGACCCAAGAAAATTCAAATCTGATCTTCCTTCTTTTGATTCTTCTTGAGAGATTAAACCCCAAAAAAAAGCTCAATTTTTTCCCTATGTAGCTCTCTTGCGAAGGGTTTGAGAAATGGAGAAGAAGGAAAAAAAAAAAAAGAGGAAATGAAGAAGAAACAAGAAAGAGTGGAAGGGGAAACAAATCAACCCAACCACGTCCTCTTCTAACCCAAACTCGTTCCTTGTTTCCTCTTACTTTATGTCCTTTTCTTAGTTAGCATTTATCAGCTTTGATTACTAATATTTAATTAATTAATCAAGTTTAAGACTTTTGTTAATTATAGTCTTCCCTCACAAATTTTTGGGTTTATTACTAATTTATCATTAGCTGATTCAACGCCTGTGGTCTCCGTTTAATTACGTTTCCATGTTATTTGTTTTGTCATATTATAATGACTACTATATATGCTAGTTGCACAGAGGTATCTACTATGTAAAATGTATGTAAATATTCGTTTAATGTAGACTTTATAGACGCGTGAACTTTCGTTTAATTGACATAAGTTTTCTTTCTACGGAATTTAGATAACTTCTTTTTGACGGTATTGGACCAAGTGTATCCATTATAATCTTGAATAATGTGTTTGGAAACTATTCTGGGGTTCACAAACTTAATCAAATTAAATATTTGAGAAATACAAAACGTTTACTCTGCTTAAGTATAAATGTGGAATCAATCAATACATATAATATATATATATATATATAAGTTTTAGACAAAATAATTCATTTAACTCGATGTTAAATAAATGAAATCAATTCTCAGATCATTTTAAACTTGGTGAGCGAAAAAACAGTTAACTAGCATTAACATATTTTGAATTACTGTGTTGCTCAAGACTTAAGCGCCTAAACTATAATTCCAAAACGCGAAGGGTTGACGCATAGGACCCGTTGGTTAATTCTAATCTGGGCTTTTAGACTTTTAGTCTATTATGGGCCGACAAACTGGGATGAATGCAATCAAGCGTATGAATTCGAGAAAAATTGTGATCCTGGTTAACCAAAAGAGTTGAAATCATGGGTGTGGAGGAAACCTCAAATCTAACTGCGGATTAAGTCATGTGTTTATGAACACTGACACACGTATATGTATACTTTAAGTAAAGTAGTAAACATTTGACTACCAAACCCAATACATTATCTAATTCTCTTTTCCTTTTTTAAATAATCGAGGTAAATCATAGGTATTTGAAAAAAAATGCAGATATTTTGCCATTTAATACGTCTACAACATTTAATTAGATGATCAACCGTAAAGATCTGTAATTAGTGGAATTCGAAACATGGCATTGACTCATATATAGAACAAATTCACGAGTTTACGACCATTTGTGTCTCTTTTATTCTTAACTAAAAGTATAAAGAAATATCTTAAAATATCATGCATTATGTGAATTTGATGTGGGTAATAACACAGTCTAACATGAATCATTAGACTATAAGTCACAGTAAGAGACTCAGGCGTGTTCAATTTTATATAATATACAAGTAGCGAATAGCTAGTATAAAGTGTTTAATGTTAACATGAAGAATATAAAGATTAGTAAAACCTTACTATTTCTTCATTTTGGTTTGTAAGTACACCACACGCTTATTGATTGGTTGAAGTGGTCTCGCATTCGTATTTGAAGCCTGTAAAATATTGTTTAAAATATTGAAAAGGAATGAATCAATTTGGATGATAAAATATCACACTACAAAAAGAAGGCTTTTTTTAAAAAAAAAGGTTATCTTCATTTATAGACTGATCATGGTCTTCTTCAATATTCTATTAGACAATAAACAATCATATTTCCACACACAGACAGACAGACTTATATCTCGATATATATACAATTCAGATATGGATATAAGTATATTATAGTTAAAGTTATGATAATGATGCTAATTTTTACTGTGTAATTAATTAATACTAATAGTAACAAAGTATGGAAATTGATGATAAACTAAACAAAAAGGAAACTTACATCGTGTACAGCCACGCGGAGAAGCTTCACTTGCTGACTTGTCACGGTTCTAATCTGAAAGTTTATTAGAGGATATGATATTGTTATTGCTTAGGTAATAAAGAGCAAACAACATTTTTGAACCCAAAGAAAAAGAGCTAACAACATTATAATAATAAGATGAAGATGAACTGAAGTAAGTTACCTGTCTGGAAATAGACCAAAGAACATTTTCAGAACAGGGAGGAGCTGTAAGTGATCCCGAATATCTATAATATTGTTTCGATTCAAAACTGATTTTTTTGGGATCAATACTTCCGACATTTGCCTCGCCCTCATGTGTATCAGTTATCCTCTTCAAATGTCTATCCAACTAATCAATATTAAAAAAAAAAAAAAACTGAATTACTATTTTTTTTTGTCAAAAGCGTAAACTAGTGGTAGTTGCCATGATTAATAAAAAAAAGATTGAGATTAGGAAATACCGAAAGGAGAAAAGCGTCAGGTGCTCCTACATTGTATAAGAAAGCGACAACAGCGTACTTTCCATTTTTGCTCTCATGAACCAAGTGTGCCTCAAGTGCAAACCTATTTAATTATGTCTACTATATAGTATTATTCACATTTTGCATGCCCTAAACCTTTAGTAGTTTTTATTTATTTATTTGAAAAACCGATTCCATAAGTATGATTATATACAAGTATAATTAAAACACTTTGCCATTACGATCACTCACATTCACATATATAAATTAATCATTATCTTACATCCAGAATAATCTGCCAAAAGACATGTATTCTAAGCCGAAATTTTCTAAACGGCGTAGTCATTATGTACTAATCCGTGTACGTCACGAGGGTCAGGAGAGGGTTACCCTTTTCTTAGATTGGTTTTTGTTTTTAATAGTGAGATGACAATCATTGCGTTATTAAGATATGGTAGAATATAAGTCTACGAGTAGAGATACCTTTTGCCATTGATTGTGTGTTCGGAAGGAGAGTGCCAGTGAAGCTGTTGAAGTTTATATTTAGTATTACCGATAATGATACCAAAACCTTGATTTCCTCCTTTAAATTTCAACTGTCACAATAACAAAGTAAAAACAAAAAAAATACCAATTAGTATGACCAAAAATGTAATTTATTTACCAAAGAGTGGTGTGGTCCAATGACGCGGCGTTTGAATGGTACAAATTTTCATGGTTGAGGCCAAAGACCAAGTCTCACCAATTATAGATTTCTATTGTTGGATCCCTTTTTAGCCTCATATTTTGATTTTTAGCAGTTTAATCAATAAGAATTTTTTAAAAATGTATAAACTATATTTTTCGATATTCTATTACCAATGCATGAAATGGTGAAGTTATATATATCTTTTATCTACTAAAGCACAAGTCACTTGGCCAATCAAAATCTGCCACATAGATTGTGCTTCAATTCATAGAAAAAAAAACAGCACAATAATAAATTGCAAATACGATAGCAAAAGAAATTACAAATTAAAAAAAAAAAATCTCCAACTTCCCCACTCCTCCACTATATCTGCAGTTTAAAAAAAAAACTGCAACAATTTATCAAAGAAAAATAAAACCATCCTATCATCATTTTTGTTGTTCGTTTACTTTTACTGCAAATTTTGTTATTCCTCTTTTATACACAATCTTCTTCATGTCTTTCTTTCAAACCAATAAATCAGCCTTTTAAAAAAGACAACATATCATATAGTAGTTATTTTTCGTTTTTTCTTTTCTCAAATTGGGTAGAACACGAATGCGACTAAGCAAACTGAAGCAGCAAGCAAGTGCTCCATCGAAGGTAACGAAATACTCACGCAAAAAACTTCAATCAAAAAAACATATTGAATTTTTGTTTTCTAGCAGAACAGATGCATCAAAGGGAAAATTATTGGACGCATTGTACTTTTTTCACACTTTTATTTCTAATTTCTACATAAATTTTTGTAAATTACTTGACTGTGATTTATATTACACTATAACTCTTCATTCACTATTTGTGCTACAATAAAAAAAATATATAGCTCCGTCTCTACGTTAAAATAACTCTCCTCTCGCATCTCAGTCCAACCATCTAATTATGTTTCTCTTTTAGAGGTGGGATGACTCAGCCATTATGGCATAACATAAACAACGATGTGGATTAGAAGACTATTCTCCTTGCTGATGTATCTAAGAAACAACCAAAATATCAAGACCATGGCTAACAGTAAGGTTCATCTCTCTTATATGAATTTCTGTGATTTGTTATGTTTTTAGCTTTAAATTGCTTTTTGTGTTAAAGATTTTGTAATATAAGTATTCCGCTAAAATAAAAACGTTGGCATAAATAGAGAAAAAGATGCTTCATGAAAAAAAAATAACTTAAAGTATTTTTGAAGAATCAAGCAAGTATTAATGGTTAATATTTCATATTTATTTTTCACATTTTATTCTTCAATGTTTTTTCCCGTACAAAGTACGGGTTCTAATACTAGTATATATATAAATGAGATGATTTAAATAAAGAGTAAAACACATAATGGAAAAGGTAATATAGTTGATTAATTTACCATGATATCATGGCCTCTGTTCTTCATGGTGGTATTGGAAGGTAAATAATGGCTACGAAGAGATCCAAGTTTATAAGTAACTACGACATTTTTGTCCCTAATATCGATCGGAGATTGCATTTTTCCTGTTCCACACATTTTCCAGTCTTCCTTTAGTGTTCCCCTTTTCGCTGGCCCCTTCTTTCCTAGCGTCTCGTAGCTAAACTCCGTTTCGTCCTCTATTCGATCGAACCTCCCGATTCAATTGTTATTTTTTTTGTTATATATACGAATGAAAAAAAAAATTGTTTGTATAAGTACGTAGTACTGACAATAATTTATATAGCTTACCAACTTCTCCACCTGGTGGTGGTGGTGCACTCAAAACAATGGAAATAGTGACGATAATAAGGAGAAAAACGCATCCAGTTGATGATATCTTCATTTTCTTATGCTATGTCTTGAAGAAAGAGAGATGAAAAAAAGTGGAAATAGCTTACTTCAATATTTGGGCTCATAACCTAACAACGTGTTCTAGATGAAGAATATAGAGTTGTGTACATAAACAAACACAAGGCATATGATGTGATTTTTTTTTTTTAAGTAACTTGTGGAAAATCTGTGTACACATTTACGTAAATACAATGGCATGCACATTTTTATATACTCTAACAGTATATCATGGATTACATTTCGTTTCTGATTTTTTCTGTAATACATGTTCATCACACTCTTATTTTGGCTATTGTAATTATAGATTTATCTATTCTATTAAAACAGAAGCACATTTAGTGCTTGCATCCAAACACTCCTAAAGTTTTTTTTATAATATTTTATATTTTTATATTTAATTTCCGAAAATTAGTTATTAATTTAGATATTTTTAGATTTCCTAAAATCTAGGTCATCTTTAATTTAAATTTCAATTTAATTAAATTTAGTTACAAAAATTTGCATTCAATTTAATTTAAATTCAAAAAATTCAAAAAAATTATAATTAAATTTTATTACAAAAATTTAGATAATAATTTTAATACTTTAGAATTTCTTAAATACAGAAAAGATTTAATTTTAAATTTTAAATTTAAATAATATTTTTATAAAAATGCATAGTAAATAAATATTTTATCGTATTTTATCATAAACAATCGATCTAAAATATTAAATATTTGAGATTAATAAATATTTATATTATACAATAATATGATCGAGCTCATTAGAGTTATATATATATATATATATATATATATTTAAGGTCCATGAGTTAATTTATTAAAACATGTAAGATATTAAGATGATTTGAGACGGTTAAACTAACAGGTTAGCCCATTTATATATATATATATTTTTTTTTTTTTTAATAGCACAAATAGTAAATAAATATCTTTTTATATATTTTCATAATCAATTGGTCCAAATATTCCATATTAGTAAATATTTATAGGGTTATACAATTATAATTATAGTCTTATACGGGTTAGTTTGTCAAAACATGTAAGATATTAAAAATGATTTAAGACAACTAAACAGATGGATTAGCAAATTCATAGATATATAGATTGTTTATGTGTAAATCTAAATTCACATAATAACAAAGTTTATAATTAAAATTAGATCAATGTATACTTAATTAATGTATATTCTTATTCTACTAATATACAAATTTTACTGTTTAAAATTAAAATATGATAACAATTTTTTGATTTAAGAAAATAAATAACAAAAATAAATTATATCTAAACAAAAATGATAAATGCAACTTATATTAGAAATCATATATATTATAAGCAAAGTAAAATTTTGAGTTAAAGCTCTCTTATTCATTCTTAGGATGGCTAATTACCTTTTACCCCTCCTTATATTTTTAAAAAATTAAATTTAATAAAAAAATTATTAAAAATCATAAATTAATTAAAAAATTATTAAAAATCATAATTAAATAAAATATTAAAAATTGTAAATTAATAAAAAAAATTGTTAAAAATCGAAATTTAATCAAAAAACATTTAAATTTAATAAAAAATATTAAAAATCGAAATTTATTCAAAAAATATTTAAAAATAGAAAATAACGAAAATTTAAAAATTGGAATTTAATCCCAAAAAAAAACATTTAAAATCATATCATATATAATCTATGCGAAGTAATTAAAAAATTATTAAAAATCGTAAATTAAATAAAATATTAAAAATCGTAAATTAATAAAAAAATTGTTAAAAATCGAAATTTAATCAAAAACATTTAAATTTAATAAAAAATATTAAAAATCGAAATTTATTCAAAAAATATTTAAAATAGAAAATAACGAAAATTTAAAAATTGGAATTTAATCAAAAAAACATTTAAAATCATATCATATATAATATATGCGAAGTAAATTTTTCGCTATAAGGTCTCTCATTCAATCTAGGTAACTAATTCCCCTTTATTCGTTAATAATTTTTTTAAAAATATCCTTAATTAATTAATTTATTTTTGTAGTTTGTATAACAATTTTGCTGCCACTTTTAGTTATTTTGATAATATTAAGATAATTTCAATCGGATTATCTGTTGAGCAAGGTTATCTGAAAAAAAATATACATGTGATGTGGGAAATCTTAGCTTAAGTTGAGAGCTATATATAAATATATTACTTTTTTAAATGTATCTTAAACTCAATTGTGGTTTGGTTTCTACATTGGTCGGCTTTTCGTTGTATTGTTTACCATCTTTATTTTTTATCAATCAATTTTTCGATTTTTTCTATTGTTTTTTTCGTTTTTCAGCACCAGTAGTAGTGTTCCTCGATTATATGTTGTTGTTTTGTGTTGTCAGTTATTCTTCCTTACTTAACGTGATTAAAACCATGTCAACATATCATAAATCATTTTCATTGTCTAATGAACAGGTTTTAAGTCTTTTTTTTGTTTGTTTTAAGTATGGCTTTCTGAATTCTGTTTATTTTTGGAATAATGTAAGAGAGGCCAAATACACTAGCAGGGCGCATAGGAAAAAATCGAAAAAGAAAACAGAAAAAGGAAAAAAGGGAAAAACGAAGTAGAAAAAGTAGAGAAAAAAAAATAAATTGAAACATATAGAAGAACATAGAGTTAACGAAAACGTAAAAAAATGAGGAAAAAATGAACAAAAAGTCCTAGACCATGAACGATAAGATCAAGATGGGTAACACAAAATAGTGAAGAAGAAAAATGATAAGGAGATGAAGAACTCAAAGTTGAAGAAGAAAACTGAAAGAAAAAGAAGAACAAAAATGGTAGATGAAGAAAATAAAGTATAAGAAGATGAAAATCTGACGATGAAAAAGAAAATAAAAAAGAAGAAAGTAAAGATGCGAAAAAGACAAACAAAAATTAGAAAGAAAAAATGTTTGGATAGGACAAAAATGATCAAGAAGAAGTAAAAAGCAGAAGATAAAAATGGCTAATAAAACCAAAAGAAGAATAATAGAAGATGTTGAAGAATAAGAATTTAGAGAATACAAAGACCATAAAATAAAACAAGAGAAGGGGCAGACAAATAAACAAAAAAAAATCAACAGAAAAAACGAAGAAAAAAA